CAAGGTTTTTCCAGGAATTTGAGAAAAAGGGGGGGGGGGGGTGACTCTTACTTACAATATACTGAGAAATTTGAGCAAAAAGAGGTGACTAGTCATCCCTGTAGCTACCCTCCTACTTCACCACCCCTGTATCCGCCCCTGAGACTAAGATGATCATTGCATACCTGATATCCATAACATCCTTCACAATTATACTTTTCACCATTTCTCAAGAAAGAACCTTCTACAAAAATCACCAGAAAAACGTCTTCCAACATGTCAATCATCTACTCTGCTTGCAAACAATTTTGGTCACTTTCTTTAAGAACCAAATAATCAAAACTAGAAATGAATTGACTTCTATTGAACAAAACCATTCTTGACTATTGATCAGCGTCCTACTACATGCCAACTATAATGTCAGCTTCATTGGCTTCCTGTGACTCACCGTATTATATACAACATCCTCTTAATAACAATAAATCTCAATATAACCTGGCTCCATGCTACATCTCTCATTGCATTTTCCCAATACAAACCCCCAAGAAATCTAACATCTTCATTTTCCATTCAATCAAATCATCAACAAATTTCTTCTAAAACCTTATGGTTATCGTTCGYTTTCCGTATGTGGCCCTGAACTGTGGAACTCTGTTCCTCCTTCCATTACATCACAATCATCGCTAACATCCTTCAAGACAGCCCTAGAAACTTATCTATTCAAATAAGCGTATAATTTGTAAATGTATCTCTGCTATTAGTTCTTTGTCTATTCTAGTATTACTCTTTCGTGCGCTTAGAGCAGCAATGAATAAGCGCATCTTAAATATTATTATTTTATTTTGCACGCATGTGAGCATAAGCATATAAAATATGCATAGTTTTAAATATTTAAAAAAAGTTATTATTATAAGTTATTTTTTTGAGACTTTTATGTGGTAAAGACATATGAAATGAAAGCTTCTTGTGTAGTACCTTGTTTTAAAGAATTATAATAATTTTGGCTAGAATCGTTCTACAGAGCCCAATTTTTCACATTGATTGTCATTGAAGTGACTATTAAGAATAGTGTATTCTATCATATGATATAAGAATGCAATGAATTAAGAGTAAATGATCATACTCCACAATCAAAATACTAATATCGTAATAGCCATGTGTAACTCGTACAATTAAAATACCTACAAATTTCACCGTAATTCTAGTACACTGCCTACATGACTTCTCTCAATACTATTCTTTAATTACTCTAAGTAAGTAAACTTTGATGAAGTTTTGTTAATTAAGTTTGATGCTTAATGAACCATGAATAGACGTGTTGTTTTGGTCTCTGCAAGTTTTCTTATTTTACTGTTATCTGCGGCCGTGATTCTTGAAAACTACATTTCCAGGTTGGATCTAAAGTCTAATTTGAATGAGGAAAACCAATATTTCATCGAAGTTCCCGATAATTATTGCAGCAAAAATTCACGGATTATATCTACGACATTAAAATGCAAATAGCTGAACGAAAGATCGCATACTTTATCCTCACAATTCTACTGCAACGTTTAATATTACCTCTTCGGCGATACTCGCCTCTGGTGATATACATCCAAATCCAGGACCCGTTTTGGATTCCACAGACTTGAAGTTTTGGCCGGAATGCCCTGCAGTGAAGTGTTCAAATGTCTCAAGGGAGTACAGCGAAATCATAAATGTCTTCAATGGAGTTACGAATCAAGAAGTTATGAATCTTAATATATTCCAAACATTCTTTCTACGCATCGTGGATCTTGGGAACCTATTCTAGAAATGTCAACAATCTGATACCTGTTGCGCTTCTTAGTGCCCCATCGAAAACTCAGCTTTCCATTAATTTTGCTATCTTGAATGCAAGATCTATTGTCAGAAAATCCACTCTAATCGTCTCGATATCATATGCCCGCAAAGGACTAGTGGGTGGTGACTTTAAGACTCATGGGTACTATTGCGCAAAATAAACAGCCACCCCAGTAAATAATATAATGACAAAGGATGGTAAAAAGATAAGAAAATTCATTGGTAATTCTGACAGAGAACATTGGGATATTTGATGTTGTCGCGTCATGACGCAAGATCAAGTTTTCAAGTAGTGTCACATGCACAAAGCAAAAGAATCGAAATCTATATATACTTCATCTGTAATCATTTACGATAATAAACTATTGTCGTTGAAAATATCCAACTATTTATTCATTTGTTCTAATTCTACATTTTCATAATCATAAAATAGAAAGGAAAAAAAACCAACCAATTATTAGTGTTTTGTTATATACCAAGAGTCAAAGAAAAAATAATCATTACTTGATGTTTTGATGTAGAAAAAACTGAGAAAAAATTACATTTCCGTGAAAATCACTTTTGGTTATCTTATTACTGGTCAATAACATATAGTGTTGCCCGCTGAGAGCCGTTGCCGGGGAAACATCGAAGCTTGTTCACGTTCACGGCATACTCTCTCGACCAATCATAGTAAGAGAGAAATGGACTTTGACAGTTGGTATATAACAATTAACACTTACTTATTGCCTTCTAACAGACAACGCATTAAAACAAAGGGGTTATATTAATTGTCTATGATCTATCATCTGCTAAGCATCCGTGTTTTTCTTTATCATTTCTTGTTATAATTCATATTCTCACGGCTTGCGTGCTAATCCAAACTTGACTTGTGTAATCATTCCCCCAAGAGAGAGGTACCAGGTAGCTCTTCATCTACTTTACATGTATCAGATCTACCCTTTATATATTCTAAACACGTGGGAATTGCCCACGGTATTCTACAAAAGATACGTTAATACTGAGTAAATAAAAGATATAGATAAAGATTATAAGGTATTGTTAAGATACAGATATAGTTAAGATATATAGTTTTGACTTCAACTCTAATAGTTACGTTAATACTGAGTAAATAAAAGATATAGATAAAGATTATAAGGTATTATTAAGATACAGATATCGTTAAGATATATAAAGGTGTCGTGGTAGATAATCTTTTCACCGTAGTAAGAACAAGACTAGTTACTCTTGTTCTTACTACGGTGAATAGATATAGTTAAGATATATAGTTTTGACTTTAACTCTAATAGTTGTGACTTCATTTTTTGGGTTCGTAACACTTGACGTACTACAAAAAGGA